GCCAATATCAGTATTTTAGGTTAATATCAGAATATTTCCTATATAATTATATTTGGACTAAGATTGCACTTAGACCCCATCTGAGGATTATTTTTAAGAACCCTATTTGGGGGGCGCCCAGGTGGCTTAGTCGTTAGGCATCTGCCTTCGGCTTGGGTCATGATCCCAGGGTCCTGGGATTGAGCCCCATATCGGGCTCCCTGGTCCACTGGAAGCCTGCTTCTCCCTCTCCCACTCCCCCTGCTTGTGTTCCCTCTCTCACTGTGTCTCTCTCTGTCAAATAAATTAATAAAATCTTAAAAAAAAAAAAAAAAAAGAACCCTATTAGGTAGCAGACCTATCCACAGAGACCTGACAGGCCAGAAAGGAATGGCATGATATATTCAGGGTACTAAACGAGAAAAATATGCAGTCAAGAACACTTTATCCAGCTAGGCTGTTACTGAAAATAGGAGAGATAAAAAGCTTCCAGGACAAACAGAAACTAAAAGAATTTGCAATCACCAAACCAGCCCTACAAGAAATATTGAAAGGGGTCCTCGAAGCAAGGAGAGAGCCCAAAAGTAACACAGACCAGAAAGGAACAGAGACAATATACAGTAACAGTCACCTTATAGGCAATATAATGGCACTAAATTCATATCTAAATTCATTATCGAGAAAGGGAAACCTGAGATCCGGCTGCTGACTGAGAAATGCAACACGGTCAAAATGTGGGTACAGCTCCTGATTCCCAGGATAGAAGATGGGAACAACTTCAGGGTCTCTATTCAGAGGAGACAGTTGCAGAACTAAGAACCGTTGTGAGTGAAGCTGCATCTTATCTGGACCAGATTATATTACAAGAGCCAAACTGGTTTCTAAAATAACTAAATATCCACACATGGACGACTATCGCTGCACTGTGACAGAGATTGATGAGAAAGAATATATCAACCTTCGGCTCATCATATCAGAGCTAAGGAATCAATATGTCACTCTACATGACATAATCCCGAAAAATATCAAGAAGATCAAACGGCCCCAGAGCAGCAATGCAGAGACGCTGTACTGAGGCCATGGCCAGGGCCAGGGGACTCTGTGAGTCTGGCTCAAGACCGACATTGCCTTGGTTTGTTATATGACTATCGTGATGGGGAAACTGGCTGGAAATAGTAATCACACCTCTCTCTGTTTTTAATTAGAGTCTTTTTTTTTTTTTAAGATTTTATTTATTTATTTGACAGAGAGAGACACAGTGAGAGAGGGAACACAAGCAGGGGGAGTGGGAGAAGGAGAAACAGGCCCCCCGCCAAACAGGGAGCCCGATGAGGGGCTCGATCCCAGGACCCTGGGATCACGACCCGAGCTAAAGGCAGACGCCCCTTTAGTTAGAGTCTAATGAAACTCTCATGTAGTTCTGTGGGGAAAAAAAAAAAAAAAAAAAGAGCATCCTACTAAAGGATGAATGGGTCAACCAGGAAATTAAAGAAGAATTTAAAAAATTCATGGAAACAAATGAAAATGAAAACACAACTGTTCAAAATCTTTGGGATGCAACAAAGGCAGTTCTAAGAAGTAAGTATATAGCAATACAAGCCTTTCTCAAGAAACAAGAAAGGTCTCAAATACACAACCTAATCCTACACCTAAAGGAGCTGGAGAAAGAACAGCAAATAAAATAAAGCCTGAATTAATAAGATTGATAAACCCCTGGCCAGACTTATCAAAAAGAAAACAGAAAGGACCCAAATTAAAAAAATCATGAATGAAAGAGGAGAGATCACAACCAACACCAAAGAAATACAAACAATTATAAGAACATAATATGAGCAACTATATATGCCAACAAATTAGACAATCTGGAAGAAATGGATGCATTCCTAGAGACGTATAAACTACCAAAACTGAGCCAGAAAGAAAACCTGACCAGACCTATAACCACTAAGGAAATTGAAGCAGTCATCAAAACTCTCCCAACAAACAAGAGCCCAGGGCCAGATGGCTTCCCAGGGGAATTCTACCAAACATTTAAAGACCTATTCTTCTGAAACTGTTCCAAAAAATAGAAATGGAAGGAAAACTTCCAAACTCATTTTATGAGGCCAGCATTACCTTGATTCCAAAACCAAAGACCCCATCAAAAAGGAGAATTACAGACCAATATCCCTGATGAACATGGATGCAAAAATTCTCACCAAAATACTAGCCAATAGATCCAACAGTACTTTAAAAGGATTATTCACCACGACCAAGTGGGATTTATTCCTGGGCTGCAAGGTTGGTTCAACATCTGAAATATCAATCAATATGATACAATACATTAATAAAAGAAAGAACAAGAACCATATGATCCTCTCAATAGATGCAGAAAAAGCATTTGACAAAGCACAGCATCCTTTCTTGATCAGAACTCTTCAGAGTATAGGGATAGAGGGTACATACCTCAAGATCATAAAAGCCATCTATGAAAAACCCACAGCGAATATCATCCTCAATGGGGAAAAACTGAGAGCTTTCCCCCTAAGGTCAGGAATGCGGCAGGGATTTCCACTATCACCACTGCTATTCAACATAGTACTAGAAGTCCTAGCCACAGCAATCAGACAACAAAAAGAAATAAAAGGCCTCCGAATCGGCAAAGAAGAAATCAAACTCTCACTCTTTGCAGATATGATACTTTATGTGGAAAACCCAAAAGACTCCACCCCAAAACTGCTAGAACTCATACAGGAATACAGTAAAGTCGCAGGATATAAAAATCAATGCACAGAAATCAGTTGCATTTCTATACACCAACAACAAAACAGAAGAAAGAGAAATTAAGGAGTCCATCCCATTTACAACGGCACCCAAAACCATAAGATACCTAGGAATAAATCTAACCAAAGAGACAAAGAACCTGTGCTCAGAATACTATAGAATACTCATGAAAGAAATTGAGGAAGACACAAAGAAATGGAGAAACATTCCATGCTCATGGATTGGAAGAGCAAATATTGTGAAAATGTCAATGCTACCTAGAGCAATCTACACATTTAATGCAATCCCTATCAAAACACCATCAACTTTTTTCATAGAAATGGAAAAAATAATCCTAAAATTTGTATGGAACCAAAAAAGACTCCAAATAGAGGAATGCTGAAAAAGGAAAGCAAAGCTGGTGGCATCACAATTCCAGATTTCCAGCTCTATTACAAAGCTGTCATCATCAAGACAGTATGGTACTAGCACAAAAACAGGCACATAGATCAATGGAACAGAATAGAGAGTCCAGAAATGGACTCTCAACTCTATGGTCAACTAATAATCCACAAAGCAGGAAAGAATGTCCAATGGAAAAAAGACAATCTCTTCAACAAATGGTGTTGGGAAAATTGGACAGCCACATGCAGAAGAATGAAACTGGACCATTTCCTTACACCATACACAAAAACAGACAGAAAATGGATGAAAGATGTAAATGTGAGACAGGAATCCATCAAAATCCTTGAGGAGAAAACAGTCAGCAACCTCTTCAACCTCAGCCACAGCCACTTCCTCCTAGACACATTGCCAAAGGCAAGGGAAGCAAGGGCAAAAATGAACTATTGGGACTTCATCAAGATGAAAAGCTTTTGCACAGCAAAGGAAACAGTCAACAAAACCAAAAGACAACCGACAGAATGGGAGAAGATATTTGCAAATAACTTAGCAGATACAGGGCTAGTATCCAAAATCTATAAAGAACTTATCAAACTCAACACCCAAAGAACAAAGAAGCCAATCAAGAAATGGGCAGAAGACATGAACAGACATTTTTCCAAAGAAGACATCCAAATGGCCAACAGACACATGAAAAAGTGCTCAACATCACTCGGCATCAGGGAAATCCAAATCAAAACCTCAATGAGATACCACCTCACACCAGTCAGAATGGCTAAAATTAACAAGTCAGGAAACGACAAATGTTGGTGAGGATGCGGAGATAAGGGAACCTTCCTACACTGTTGGTGGGAATGCAAGCTGGTGCAGCCACTCTGGAAAACAGTATGGAGGTTCCTCAAAAAGTTGAAAATAGAGCTACCCTATGACCCAGCAATTGCAATACTGGGTATTTACCCCAAAGATACAAATGTAGTGATCCAAAGAGGCACATGCACCCCAATGTTTATAGCAGCAATGTCTACAAAAGCCAAACTATGGAAAGAGCCCAGATGTCCATCGACAGATGAATGGATAAAGAAGATGTGATATACATATAGATACACACGACGGATTATTATGCAGCCATCAAAAAAATGAAATCTTGCCATTTGCAACGACATAGATCGAACTAGAGGGTATTATGCTAAGCGAAATAAGTCAATCAGAGAAAGACAATTATCATATGATCTCACTGATATTTGGAATTTGAGAAACAAGGCAGAGGATCACAGGGGAAGAGAGGAAAAAAATGAAACAAGACGAAACCAGAGAGGGAGACAAACCATAAGAGTAAACTTTTAATCTCAGGAAACAAACTGAGGGCTACTTGAGTGGAGGGGGATGGGAGGGATGGGGTGGCTGGGTGATGGACACTGGGGAGGGTTTGTGTTGTAGTCAGCACTGTGTATTGTGTAAGACTGTATTGTGTAATCACAGACCTGTACCCCTGAAACAAATAATACATTATATATATATAAACCCTATTAGGTGATCACCTAGATAGCTCTACAGAGAGATCCCTGGGTATACTGAAGAGTCATGTACTAATAACGTAAATGAGGAATAAGAGCCTTCAAATCTTGACTAGTTTTTCTTTCCTTTTTTTTTTTTTTTAACATTTAATTTATTTATTTGAGAGAGAGAGAGAGCATGGCAGAGGGAGAGGGAAAAGCAGACTCCCCACTGAGCGGGGAGCCTGATGTAGGGCTCGATCCCAGGACCCTAGGATTATGACCTGAGCCCAAGGCAGACGTTTAACCAACTAAGCCACCCAGGGCCCCCACATCTTGACTCGTTTCAATAAAAATTTAAAATTTATCTGACATCCAACATACCTCTTTCATATACTGGTTATACAGTGCTTCTGATGATTCTAGGTAAGCCTGTGCAGTTTCAATTTCTTCTCTTTCAGACCACAGGATACCCAGGTTATTCTGGAAAATAAAGAAAAGAGAAATAAATAATGACAATATAAATCTTCCAATTAAAGTAACTTTCAGGGGCGCCTGGCTGGCTCAGTTGGTTGAGCATGTCTCTTGATTTCAGCTGAGTCATGATCTCAGGGTCCAGGCCCAGCAGGGAGTCTGCTTGAGATTCCCTCTCCCTGTGCACCCCCTTAAATAAATAAATAAATCTCTTAAGAAAACATTTCAATAAACTTCTATGTTATTGATTTCTTTTGTAACCCTTTACATTTTATGTTATACATTTAAAATAATTATTCTGTTTATGAAATACAGGCTTTACTAGACTGCAAAAGGGGCTCATGGCACACAAAAAAGGGGGGGGCACACGTAGAAACCCTACAGTTTACAGGTGACTTGATCATTCCTCTGGAACACAGACCTCTGGTCTTCTGGCTTCACATAATGTTTCTATTCTATCATCTTTTTAAGTTAAGTGATCAGTCCTCAGTAGGGACTGTAGGTCACAGGGATAATGTATTGAGATGGGACAGTTGTTTTCTTTTTATCTAGGAGGGTCCTTTGCAGGACCCTGGGGAAACCCAAAGGGGCTCTTGCCCACTACTAACTTACTGATTACTCTGCCCACCCAGACTCAAAGAATATAATCTCCCTTAATATTCATTTCCTGATCATAGAAATGGATGCACAAACCACCTTGTCCCACTCTCTAGTTCAACTTATTTTTCCTGACAAGAGTCCCTGAGAAACTCCATTCAGCCAGGACACCAATCAGCCCAACCCAGTACACCGTATCTAGCCTACAGAGTCTAGAGATTTCCCTAGTACCAGGAACTGGTTGGCCACATGTGCTCTGTTTTGATGGGATGGTGATATATTTAACCTGCTAGCTCCAGGGTAGGCTGTGCCACAGAAAGCAATGGTTCCCGTGTGCGATAAATCTTAAACCAAGTAGAGAACCCCAGAGTGTATCTAAGAAAAACTAAGGTTTTTCTTTTGAGCCATAACCTATTGCGATCTTGAAGGTAAAGACCATGCAAAAAATCTAGAACTGATTTGATTTTTAAAAATTAATAGTGTAATGTTTTGCTTTTTAGTTTTGCAATTCTTTTTATTGAGATATAATTGACACATAATGTTAGTGGTTTTTTTAAATGTTCACTCCACAAAAATAACTACTATTGACATTCTACATAAATTATGTTTAAATATAATATAAATCCTAAAATACACCAGAAACTACTATATCATTCACAGAGCATTTTCATGTTCTTGCCCTCAGGATACCAAACTAGGTAGGAAAAAAATTAAATATAAAATAAAAACAGCTAGGAGCACCTGGGTGGCTCAGACAGTTAAGCATCTGACTCTTGGTTTCAGCTCAGGTCATGATCTCAGGGTCATGAGATCGAGTTCCGCATCAGGCTCCACATGCAGCACAGAGTCTGCTTGAGATTCTCTCTCTATAATAAATAAATCTTTTTTTTTTTAGGTTTTTTTAATTTATTTGAGAGAGAGCACAAGTGGAGGGGAAAGGCAGAGGGAGAGGGAGAAGCAGGCTCCCCATTGAGCAGGGCGCCCAACATGGGGCTTGATCCCAGAACCCTGGGATCCTGAACTGAGCTGAAGGCAGACGTTTAACCAACTGAGCCACCCAGGTGCCCCAATAAATAAATCTTTAAAAAAATAAAAAATAGGGGCATCTGGGTGGCTCAGTTGTTAAGCGTCTGCCTTTGGCTCAGGTCAGGATCCCAGGGTCCTGGGATGGAGCCCCGATCGGGCTCCCAGCTCCGTGGGAGGCCTGCTTCTCCCTCGCCCACTCCCCCTGCTTGTGTTCCCTCTCTCGCTGTCTCTCTCTGTCAAAAAATAAATAAAAATAAAAATAAAAACAGCTAAAAAGGTACTACTGGTGAATTCTACCAACGTAAGAAATTATACCAACTCTGCACAACTCTGCCCAGTAGAGGAAAGAACGCTTTCCATCTCATACTAAACCAAAGACATAACAAGAAAACTACAGCCTGATATCCTTCATGAACACAGATATGAAAAAATATTAAAATTTCAGCAAATGGAGTTCAAAAATATATAGAAAGGGTAGTATTTCACCGAAGTTTTACTCGGTAAAAACTTCAAGTGTATTTTTACCACAGGAAGGAAAGTTTGGTTTAACACTGGAAAATCAATCAAGGTCATTCACCATATTAACAGACTAAAAAAGAAAAAAACCATGAATATCTCAGATGCAGCAATGAAATGACGATGCTGAAAGAAGTCAGACCAAAATAAGAGAAACACTGCATGATTCCATTATGAAATTCTAGAAAATGCGGAGGAGCCAAGGCGAAGGGAGAGAGAGAATAAAGGAGGGAGAGAGGGATTACAGAGCACAGGAAGCCTGTAGATGGATATGGTCAATGGATACGGTCAATACCTTGATTGCAGAGATTGTTTCATGGGTATATACATATGTCAAAATTCATCAAATTATGTACTTTATTTTTTTCTACTTTAGAATTTTTATTTCTGTGTAAAAGAAAGACAGAACTCCTGGAGGTCAAACAAAGAAAACAGACACCAAATTCAAAGCACTATTAAGTCAGGAAACGAAGAATCTGAGGTAGAAGTCAGGCAACATAATCCACAACCTTTTTAGGGGCATACTGAACAATCACATCTCTAGTAAGATCTCATTTTTTTTTAAAGTCACAAGTTCCAAAAAGTTAATAATCCACTCTCTGAAATCAGATGTAAAACTATGACCAACAGAAGATACACACAAACTTTTGTCATGGTAACAGAGAAAACAGTTTTACTAAAAGCTGCTGACGTTTCCATCAGTAGTAACCATAGGGAGGCCGTTGGTTGTAACCATACTTCCATTTTGGTGGGGGTAGTAAGGTTCTTGTCTGTGCTGCGGGTAACTGTTACCCCAGGACCATCCATGCCACTGATTGGATCGACTGTCCCTTGGCCACCTCCGTCTACTATTCCTACCTCTAAACTGTCTGTTATCTTGCAACTAATTGCCTCTATTTCTCTGGTTCCCACCAGCTCTGCTATTCCATTCTTCAACGATTGGAGGGAACTCAGGAGGGCATTTCAGGTACTCCTGGTACTCTTTGTCATCTTCTGTGAATCTACTGGCAAACATCTCTTCAAATTTGGGAACAGCTTCAGAAGTTTCTGTCATCCTGAAATTCCCAGCAGTCTCAGGCAGCTGCAATGTTTAATGTTTATGTTGTTTCGATCTCCGGCTCACACCGTGGGCAAAGGACCTCCCACCACTTCAGCTCTCCAAGGTAAGGGACTCACGTACTTTAGATATACAATTTATCGTATGCCAGTTATACCTCAGTAAAGCTATAAACACACACAAAAGCTACTCTTTATACATTTATATCCTGGGAGTGGAGAGAATAATCTCCTAATTTGTTAGGAAATTTTACTTAGGTGAAGTAGTTAAATTTCACTCAAGATGAGAGGCACCTGGCTGGCTCAGTGGGTAGAGCATGCAACTCTTGATCTCAAGATCAGGAGTGCAAGCCCCACACTGGGTGTGAGCCTACTTAAAAAATATACTTTTTTATTAAAAAAAAAGATGATAATGCAAGTGTATATTGCTGATAGCAAAAACTGGAAGGAAAACTGGAGAAAAATTATTCTTTTTTTTGTTTTGTTTTTAGAGAGAGATCATGCCCGAGGTGTGGGGGGTGAATAGGGGGCAGTGGGGGAGAGAGAATCTTAAGCAGGCTCCCACACCCAGCACAGAGCCCGATCTCATGACCCTGAGATCATGACCTGAGCTGAAATCAAGAGTCGGATGCTTAACTGACTGAGTCACCCAGGTGCCCCAAGGAGAAAAATCATTCTTAAGGCCTCCAGAACCCAGTGAAGATAGAAGGGGATAGTCTCTTTTGATAATCTAATATGGATCCAGGTTTTCTATTTCTATAGTTTCCCAGGAAGGAAACACCAGGTTGAGACAAAGCAGTCAGAATATCATAAATTCCCATGAGCTGTTACTTTCAAACTTTTTCCTACACACACACACACACACACACACACAGTCTTTTACAAAATAGAATCATTCTACCTAATTCCCAACATGCCTTAGTCTTCCCCCTCCCTCTTAATATTGATATTTTTTAATTTTTTTTTAAGATTTTATTTATTTATTTGACAAAGAGAGAGAGAGGGAGAGCACAAGTAGGCAAAGAGGCAAGCAGATGGTGAGGGAGAAGCAGGCTCATCGGCAGGGAGCCCGATGCGGGGCTTGATCCCAGGACTCTGGGATCATGACCTGAGCCGAAGGCAGACGCTTAACGACTGAGCCACCCAGGCGCCCCAATATTGATATTTTTTTTTTAAAGATTTTATTTATTTATTTGAGACAGAGAGAATGAGATACAGAGAGCATGAGAGGGAGGAGGGTCAGAGGGAGAAGCAGACTCCCCGCCGAGTAGGGAGCCCGATGCAGGACTCGATCCTGGGACACCAGGATCACGACCTGAGCTGAAGGCAGTCGCCCAATCAACTGAGCCACCCAGGCGCCCCCAATATTGATATTTTTGATTAACAAATATGTATCATTATTTTTTAGTGGCTGCACACTGTTCTTCTGTATGGATGTATCCATATTTTTGTTGTTGTTGTTAAAGATTTTATTTATTTGACAGAGAGAGACACAGCGAGAGAGGGAACACAAGCAGGGGGAGTGGGAGAGGGAGAAGCAGGCTTCCCGCGGAGCTGGGAGCCCGATGCGGGGCTCGATCCCAGGACCCTGGGACCATGACCTGAGCCGAAGGCAGGCACTTAACGACTGAGCCACCCAGGCGCCCCTGGATGTATCCATATTTATTTAACCATATAGCTACTGACTGATATTTGTTTTTTTTTAATTGACAATGCTGTGATGAACATCCATGCTGACATACCTTTGCATACCTGTCCCAATATTATTTTAGGATATTGATAGGAATTTTATTTGATTTTTTTTTAAGATTTTATTTATTTATTTGACAGAGAGAGACACAGCGAGAGAGGGAACACAAGCAGGGGAGTGGGAGAGGGAGAAGCAGGCTTCCTGCTGAGCAGGGAGCTCGATGCGGGGCTTGATCCCAGGTCCCTGGGACCATGACCTGAGCCAAAGGCAGATGCTTAACGGACTGAGCCACCCAGGCGCCCCTGATACGGAATTTTAAAGTCAAAATCTTGACTCCAGAATTCTGATACCTACTGATCTTCAGAAAGTTCTATGAATTTGTATTTCCACTAACAATAATGCTAACAGATATTACCTGTTTCCTCATAGTCTCTCCAGTAACAAGTATAAGCCATCTTTAATAATCTCTGCCAATCTGATCCAATTTTTCTATTTTTTTTAGTTTGTTTTATTATTAGTGAGATCAACTCTCTCATCACTGGGACACCTGGGTGGCTCAGTTGATTAACCTTCAGACTCTTGGTTTTGGCTGCAGTCATGATCTCAGGGTTGTGAGATGGAGCCCGGTGTCCTCTACACTTGGCGCTGAGTCTGCTTGAGATTCTTTCTCCCTTCCTCTCCCTCCCACTCTGCTCCTCCCCTGCTTGCATGCTCTCTCTCTAAAATAAACAAATCAAGAAAATCTTTAAAACAAAATCTCCCATCCTATATAGCAAATATTAAATGTAATAAAATTCTAGTGTGGTAATGCCACTGGAAAAAAAGATCAACCAAACAGGAGAGTTAGAAACACACTAGCACAGACAAATTACTATTGCCGTATAGTTTTGGTATCTGGTAAACTAGGTACTAGCTAATTAAATTAAATTACCATTTAATCTAATCTAATTAAATTATTATTTCTGTAGAGTTTTAGTACCTGGTAAGCTAGTTTTAGTGCATTTTTCTTTTTCTTATGTTCACTTTTCTTTATTCTTTCATATACACATACTCATTTTGTCAAGCTCTAAGAAAAACTATTATGATTTCAGCAGAAATTGCATTAAACCTACAAATGAGTATCAGAATATGACTGTTATGTGGGTGCCTGGGTGGCCCAGTCGGTTAAGCGTCTGCTTTCCGCTCAGGTCATGATCCCAGGGTCCTAGGATCCAGATCCAGATCTGGGGAGCCTGCGTCTCCCTCTCCCTCAGCTACTCCCTCTGCTTGTTCTCTCTCTCTGTCAAATAAATAAATAAAATCTTAAAAAATATATATATATGACTGTTATGTTTAATTCTTGCCACCCAGGAAACTGTTATATTTTTCCATTTAGGATTATCAGTTCTATTACCTCTAATATTGCTGTTGTGAATGCAATTTCTAAAAATAGTATTTTTAACCAGTATTGCTTATGTACAGGAATACTATTAATATTATATATTTATTTATATCCTCCCACTTTATTGAATTGATCACAGTTCTAATAGTTTTTCAGCTGATGACTTTAGTTTTTAGGTATACAAGGATCACATATGCAAATAGTTACTTTTAGAAATTATTTTATTTTTTTCCCAAATTAATAACTCTTATTTGCTTTCTATATTATTGCAATGGCCAGAACTTTTTTTTTAAGATTTATCTATTCATTTTTTTTTTAAATATTTTATTTATATTTGGTATTTAAGAGACAGAATGAGCAGTGGGGAGGGGCAGAGGGAGAGAGAGAGAGAGAGAGAAGCAGACTCCCTGCTGAGCAAGGAGCCAGATGCGGAGCTTGATTCCAGGACCTGGAGATCATGACCTGAGCTGAAGGCAGACACTTAATGAACTGAGCCACCCAGGCACCCCTCTTCCATTCATTTGAGAGATAGAGAGTGGGGGGAGGGGGAGAGGAAGAGAGAGAATCTCAAGCAGACTCCACCTGGAGTGTGAAGCCCTATGCAGGGCTCAATCCCACAACCCTGAAATCATGGCCTGAGTCAAAATCAAGTCAAATGCGTAACTGACTGAGCCACGCAGGTGCCTCTGCAATGGCCAGAACTTCTAATCAAGGTTTTCTTCCTGATTTTAGTACGAATACCTAAAATAATTCACCCTTCAGAAAAGGTTGGCTATTTGAAATACTGTATTCACTGAATGTAAGATGTCCCATCTGTAAGACAATTATTTTATCAACAAGAAAACACTGCCAAGTAAATTATGACACAGCTATAAGATGCATCCTGATTTTAGACATATTAAGATATGAAACAATGTGCATATTAAAATCAAAATATAGTAAATACTGGACATTCCATATTACATTTAGGGTGGTTTCTAATTCTATTCTTGAGATGTTGAAATTGTTCAATGCTTATTAAGGTTTTAGGCAACCATATGATTAAAGAAAATTTTGAGGTTTTGTCTGAGTTCAACATCTTATGAATTTCATTAGATCATTCAACCACTGGACATATATTTAGAATGGCCTACTATGGAGGAGGCACTGAGGTTATAAATAGTGTGCAAAAAGAGACATAGTTCCTGTTATTGTGTAGCTTTTAATTTTATTGGGTCATGTTAAAAGAAAATGACCTGTACAATTTCCTTTTTAATTCTGAGGTTTTTCTTTGAGGCCATATGATCAATTTTGGTAAATGTTCCCTGGATCACATATATTAAGAACTGGAACTACTGGATGTAAAGGTTTGTGAGCTTACTCCAAGTTCCTGGCACATAAAAGGAGTTCATACAAATTTGTATTCTGAAATATTATGTTCCCGAAGAGAATGTCAGATTTATTTCTTAATAAACCAAGGACCATGGGGCGTCTGGGTAGCTCAGTCGTTGGGCGTCTGCCTTTGGCTCAGGTCATGATCCCAGGGTCCAGGGATCGAGCCCCGCATCGGGCTCCCTGCTCAGCGGGAAGCCTGCTTCTCCCTCTCCCACTCCCCCTGCTTGTGTTCCTGCTCTCGCCATCTCTCTCTCTGTCAGATAAATAAATAAAAATAAAAATAATAAACCAAGGACCACATAAATGGGAAACGGTAAGTATTACAAGAATTCAAAGATACAAGTTCGGAACAAAATGATCCAAAGAAAGTCACTAGAAGTATGAAGTCTGTTTTGAGATGGGTTTTGAAAAATCGGCAAGAATTCCCTGGGGAGGGGCGGCTGGGTGGCTCAGTCGTTAAGCGTCTGCCTTCGGCTCAGGTCATGATCCCAGGGTCCTGGAATCGAGCCCCACATCGGGCTCCCTGCTCTGCGGGGAAGCCTGCTTCTCCCTCTTCTACTCCCCCTGCTTGTGTTCCCTCTCTCGCTGTGTCTCTCTCTGCCAGATAAATAAATAAAATCTAAAAAAAAAAAAAAAAAAATCTAAAGAATTCCCTGGGGAGCAAACGATATATATATATATATATATATATATATATATATATATATATATATATATATATATATATATATATATATATATATATATACACACACACACACACATACATACACACACACACATATGGCAAAAACAGAAACTGATGATTTTTGAACAATTTGTTTTAAATTAAGCATGCACTCGGGACATCCTCTGTAATTTCCTCGAGACCTTAAGATTTAAATTACTATGGATTTCTTCTGAATAGAATGAACAGGATTTGGACTGGTGGAGAAGAGCTGGAAAAGGCATTTATGAGGTAGTAGGGTCTCAGGAAACCAATGCGTTGACCACGACTAAGCGAAGCAGCAAGTGATGTCGGTGGAATTTGCAAGCTGTTCATTCCAAAGCTTCAAAAACACGGGGTCAAATTGTGCCTGATAACATCTGCCTTTAGCCTTGGCGAGAGTGGGGACCCTCTCCACCCCTCGCCTCTGGCCGACGACAGTGGGCCGTGCTCGCTCTCACCTGCGCCTGGATGTAGAGGGAGACGCAGTCCTGCGACAGCCGGTACTTGCGCAGCAGCCTCAGGCATTTCACCAGATGCTCCTCCCCCGCCGACAGCTCCTCGGTGTCGATGTGGTTCACACCGAGGTGGAACTCGATCACCGCCAGCCTCACTGCTCCCTGGGCGATGGGCCCCTCGGCTTCCACCACTTCGGCCGGCGGCCCCAGGGCGTGGTCCCCCGCGCCCAAGCCCTCCTCCGCCTGAGGCCGCTCATCCTCGTCCTCAGGCGCGGGGCCCAACAGCGCCTTGACCTCTTCCAGCAGCGCTCGGGCGCCGTACTTGGACTTATAGGGTTCTTTCTCGGGGTTTTTATGCAATTCCACCCGCGACAGAGCCAGCGCGGCCTGGAATTTCTCACGAATCTCGGCCCACGGAGGACTCGCCATAGCGGCCTCTACCGCCTGGGCGTCCTCAATGTTTGCAATCGGGACTCCCGCCTTCTTTCTGCTTTGCGACACTTCACTTACGGCCCCGGACAGATCCCAACACTGCGGAACCGTAACCAATGAGGTCCGCCAGAGGACCCGCAATGTGCTCGGCTGTAACCAATGGAAAGGCGTAGTGGGCACCACAGCAACCGTTGTCATGGAAACGAAGCTCTCAATGAGGGTGGTCCCACCTCCAGCCCCACCCTCCGCGGTGATGAATTCTATCGCGTGACCCGTAGAAGTTCTACCTTTAACAGAACACATTAGAAACATACCTAACTACTCTCGTTAGTTGGTATAACCTGAATGACAGAAAACTTTTGATATTTATAACCTAGCCCATGACTGGATGAAGATGTAACAAGGATTCATTTATTATTAATATATAGCTTCTGGAGTGAAAGTTAGCTTTCACTACGTAAAAAGCACTCAGTGATCGACAAATGTTTTCACTTCAACACTGAAGAAGGTTGTAGGTATGTGTACAACTTCCCAACGTAACACAGAAGTCCCAGACCTGTGATAAGCCGCTTCAGGCGTGGCTTTTTCCATTCCATACCTTCCTAAGTTATGAAGTCAAATGCGAGTCAAATGTGGGGGGAAGGGGCCGGGCGGAGGTGTTAACTATGAGGCGCTAGCTAGCTCTGTGCGCTTGGGGACACACAAAGGAGCACCGATTTTAGAAGCTCATAGACATAGTTTGATTCTCAGCTCTGCTTCTAATTGATAAGTTAACTTCTCTAAGCTTCAGGTTTTTCATGGTAAAACATAAGTGATACTATTACTTATCTCTACAGAATTATCCTAAGGAAGAAGTGAAATTAAATATCTATCCTTTAAATGTTAGTGTTCCTCAGGACTCCTTCCTAAACTTTGTCCCAGGGAGATCTTACGCATTTCCATGGCTTCTATTACAAAACTTGGGTCTCCAGGCCCGATGATTCTCTGGAGTTCCAGACTGTAATATCCATCTCCTAACTGGAACCACCACACCTGAATGTTCCACTGTATATCAGTATGTTGAAACTGGAACTCATTCTCTTCCTCTGAGAGAGTGAGCCATGAAGACATCAGGGGAAGTATATCCCAGACAGAGGAAGAGCAAATACAAAGGCTTTGACACAGGAGCATGCCTGGTGTGTTCAAGGAACAGGGAGACCTCTTAAGAGCCTGGGGTAGAGAGAACGGAAAGGGCAGTAGGTGATGGAAGTCAGAGAAGCAATGTGGGCCCAATCATGTAGGGTTCCTAAGGCCACCATAGGGACTTTGGCTATTCTGAGTGAGATGGGAGCCATTGGGTGGTTTTGAAGGAGTGACAAAATCTGACTTAAAGAATTATTCTGAAATAATGAGGAGGGGGACAGAGAAGAAGTGGGGAGACTGAAAAGAAGCAGGGAGACTGGTGAGGAAACTACCGTAATAATCATAGTAGGTGCTCAGTACCTGGCTGATCACGAATAGGAAAGCAAGTGGCACTGTTAATAGTGGTAGCTAATTACTTACTATGAGCCAAATAACATTCTATATATTAAAATCATCTAATCCTCGAAACTAATATTGCACTGTATGTTGACTAGCTGGAATTAAAAAAAAAATCACCTAATCCTCAGAACTCTGTGAGCAACTATTATTATTCCCGTTCTGCACGTTAAGAATTGAGGTCCATAGGGCGCCTGGGTGGCTCAGTTGGTTAAGCGACTGCCTTCGGCTCAGGTCATGATCCTGGAGTCCCGGGATCGAGGCCCGCATCAGGCTCCCTGCTCAGCGGGGAGTCTGCTTCTCCCTCTGACCCTCCTCCCTCTCATGCTCTCTGTCTCTCATTCTCTCTCTCGCAAATAAAAAAAAAAAAAGAATTGAGGTCCATAGAGATTAATAATTTACCAAAGGTCATACACAGAAGTAGGCAGTTTTGCTCTAGGACCCACACTTTCAATCAATATGTTATGCTGTCGTAGTAGGAGCTCAAAAAATAAACCTCCATGACACATGGTGCTGACCTCTACATATCTAACTGGAAGAACACTTAGATGAAAACTAAAATGAGGATTTTTGGAAAATCCTTACACAGACGTACTAAAAAACACAAAGACATGAGACTAGGAAATTTGCGATAGAACTCTGGCTGCTATATGGGGAGTATATTCCTTTCTTGGCCTTCTTTGTATATCGGTATTTTGAGGGCTGAGCATTCTTAGAGCCCTGTGAAATGTTATAAAGCAGTCCCTGTGAAAGGTGTGCAGTGGGTGGTAGAGCACAGATCACCATGGGGCAGTGAGCTGAGCTCTGTGACAACGGAGACAAAAAAGTGGAAGGCATCTGCAGTGAAAGGGAGTTAACTTGCCTGGCCCAACCACTGCTAATGTCTACCAGTTACCTTCATTGCAGTAAAAGCTCTACACTAAAAGCACTAATTCTGGGGCGCCTGGGTGGCTCAGTCAGTTAAGCGTCCAACTCTTGATTTTGGCTCAGGTCATGATCTCAGGGTCTTGAGACAGAGGCCTGTCTAGGGCTCTGTGCTGGGTGTGGAGTCTGCTTGAGAGTCTCCCTCCCTCTTCCTCTCCCTCTGCCCCTCCCCACCTCAGAAAACACAAAAACAAAGAAAGAAAACAACAACAAAAAGCACGAATTCCTTTGTCTTTTACGTCAGAAAGCCCACTTAATGGAAAACTCCTTAATGAGAACAGTGTGACTGTATCATCTTCAGTATATAACACTGATCTGAAATCGTCAGAAAATGCAAATGGACAAAAGAACAAAATAAGAGGTATAATGGTTGGGAAGAAGATGGGGAAATTATTATATTGTCTTCCTGAAAAAGCAAAGTAAAACAAGTGAACACAGAGAGTAAAAAAGTTCAGTTAAGTAGGCCACTCACAAATAAAAATCAACAACTTTTCATTGGGGAAAAGATACAGTGAAGGAAAAGATCACTTTTAAAGATTTATTTTATTTGAGAGAGAGAGAGTGCACACACACACACACGTGCACAGTGGGGAAGGGCAGAGGGAGAGGGAGATAGATATCTCAAGCCGACTGGCGCTGAGCTTCCATCCTGAAGACTGACCCAGGGCTGGATCTTATGACCCCAAGATCACGACCTGAGCCGAAACCAAGAGTCAGACGCTCAACCGACTGCAACACCCAGGAGCCCCAAGATCACTTGTATAATAGCAACAGTGACAACAATTGAGAACAAACTTAAGCTATTTAATGAGTCAGATAAAAAAATAATAATATAAGATACAACGTAAGTCTTGGTTTCCTGATTTAGGGCCCGTTTAGGCATGTCCTTTTTTTTTTTTTTTAAGATTATGTATGTATGTATGTATTTAAGAGAGAGAGAGAGCACGGTGGGGAGGAGCAGAGGGAGAGGGACAAGTGACTTCACTGAGCTCGGAGCTGGAGGCGGGGCTTGGTCTCAAGACCCTGAGATCCTGACCTGAGCTAAAATCAAGAGTCCAAAGCTTAACTGAGTCACCCAGGTGCCCCAGCATTTCCCATTATAAGGAAACATGATTCCTTGGAGAAAATAGTCATTTTGGTTCTGGGGCAGGATGCGCCCAGGTATCTTGTCCCACCAGAAATCAAGGAAACTACCAAAGACTAGGAGGGTAAGGTCAAAAGGACTGAGAAGGTACCAAGCTAGAAAGAGGCTCTTGCTGGCCAAAAATTGGATAATTTGAACATCAATAAAATAACTACCATTGATTAAGTCATATCAAATATGTAAAAATCCAGCATATTATCATGAATCAACACTAACAATGAAATACTCACTGGCCACCTTTGGAGGGAGCTAGGGAACCAACTGTAATTTTGAAAATTTGTACATAAATAAAGGGAAAGAAGGGAGCCTAGATGGCTCAGTCGGTTAAGCATCCGACTCTTGATTTCAGCTCAGGTCATGATCTCAGGGTCATTAGATCAAGCCACGAGTCCAGCTCCTCACTCAGCAGGGAGTCTGCTTGAGGATTCTCTCTGCCCCTCACCCTGCTCTCTCTCTCTAAAATAAATAAATAGGGGCACCTGGGTGGCTCAGTCGGTTAAGAGGCTGCATTCGGCTCGGGTCATAATCCCAGGGTTCTGGGATCAAGTCCCGCATCTGGCTCCTTGCTCAGCAGGGAGTCGGTTTCTCCCCTGTCTGCTGTTCCCCCTGCTTGTGCTTGCTCTCTGTCTCTCTCTCACTCTCGTTCTTTCTGTGTCAAATAAATAAAATCTTAAAAAAAAAAAAAAAAAGAAAGAAAGAAATGGAAAGAATCAGCACTTATCTGCCCTTTCTGTAGGAATAGTATTCTATTCAGGGTACCAAGTGTTAAGACAAGTTTCCTTCTTGGGGCGCCTGGGTAGCTCAGTTGTTAAGTGTCTGCCTTCGGCTCAGGTCACGATTCCAGGTCCTGGGATCGAGTCCCACATCGGGCTCCCCACTCGGCGGGAGGCCTGCTTCTCCCTCTCCCACTCCTCCTGCTTGTGTTCCCTCTCTCGCTGTGTCTCTGTCAAATAAATAAATAAAATCTTAAAAAAAAAAAACAAAACAGGTTTCCTTCTTTAGAAGTATTCCAGCTAACGAATGAAAAAGAAATGATAGAGTATCACCATTTTGCAAGAACCCTAATGCAATTATACATGTAGACAGTAATGATCTTTTTCTGCTAACATGAAAAGACAGAGAGAGAAATGGACATTGTGTACCTTTCTAGATCTGATTATCAATTTACATTAAATACAGGGGGAAGGGGCGCCTGGGTGGCTCAATTGGTTGGGCGTCTGCCTTTGGCTCAGGTCATGATTCCAGGGTTCTGGGATCGAGCCCCGCATTGGGCTCCCTGCTTGGCGGGGAGTCTGCTTCTCCCTCTCCCTCTGCCTGCTGCTCTGCCTACTTGTGCTGTCAAATAAATAAACAAAATCTTTAAAAAAAAAAAAAAAATACAGGAGGTAAAAGAGCTCGTTAAATGACAGATGGAGATGCATCAGCAAAATTCAGAATGCGGCAGAATCTACAAAACAAATGGCCTGGCTTCTTCACAAAATAAGTTG